ATATTACCAGATTGCGAGCTACAGTTATCATGTGTACGAGCTTGTAATACCACCCAGTTTGAAGTAGGTGAGGCTGAATTCGAACCTCAGACCTATTGGTTTAAAGTCGAGTGTTTAAGCCAGTGAGCTACATCTCCATCAGTCAGTAATATTAACTCTCGGCCATACCGTTGGATCAGGAGCTCGAGTGGGAAACGACGAGTTGGGCGAGCATCCGAGGGTGCCATGGAGGAAATCGTGCGAGAGACTATGGACAATCTTGGGGTCAGCTGAAGAGGGCTGCAGAGAATAGGAAAAAGTGGAGATGTCCTGATAAAGCCTGACGTTCCACTTGGAACCTTAGGGAATAATAATGACTACAATAATAATAATAATAATAATCGTGTTCTCCACAGTAACAGTCTGCAGTTATTTTGACTGAACACTACTCAGTAATTAGTGTAATGTGTCTAGTCCTATCTTTCATGCAGACTAAATTCTATCAATCAGGTTTGAAGTTTGACCACCATCACGGTGCAAAGTGAGTTGTTGCTGTTGGCCACGTAGCATGGTGACCACATTGCAGAAACTTGACTAATAGAATTCAGTCTGCACCGAACAAAAGACCAGACACATTACACTAGTTACTAGCCAGTGTCCAATCAAAAATATCTAATACATTCCTATAGGAGGTCAATCCCGAGCCCGAATAGCGCAGTGGTAACGTCTCTGACTGCAGCACTGGATGACGCAGGTTCAAATCTCAGAAGGGACTGGTGAGTGCCAACTAGCACGTAACCTAGATCGAAGACTTCCTGCCGATTGCCTCCAACCCTCTATTATCAGTCTGTAGTTATATTAATCCCTTGTTTTCTTGCACTACTAAGACAAAATGTGATGGCAAATCTAGAATAAAAAGTCGCTTTCGTGACTGGATAGTCTGTGGAGAAAAATTCCTGATGTCAAAGACTTCATTGAAGATGTGTATATACTTCCTTACTTTCAAGAATCTAATTAATGAATATACAAGTGGGTCTTTTGAGTTAGACGACATCACAAAATGATCACGGTTAGAGTGCCAGAGAGTAATGGACGGCTTTATTTAGTCCTAGTTTAGGAGTCTTCAGAAGTACACACTCAGGAACACAACTGAGATCGGACCAAGCATGTCCACAGTACAAGGTAAGTACATTAGAAGTAAGCCAATGAGGTTGACTATCTAGAGTGCTTATGAAAAGTAGTGGCCAGTAGTGTTCAAAAATTGGGTGGGTGGACAGATACTTACTAATGACATTATCATGAACTGGCAGAATTTAGAACTCACTAACCATTGGTTTCAGTTACAGTGACTGAATATAACGATATCACCAAGTACCTTGAAGGTCCTGAGTAACCAGTGCTGAAGATTCCTAGACTAGAATAAAATAGGCCTCTAATACTTCCTATGTTTCAGGGGTTCTATAAATGGTATGGTTTAGTGGAAACATCCAACTTGAAACTGGTAGTACTCCTTCAAATGGACACTTGAATAAAATTTTCTTTGTCGACGAAATCATTTTTAGAGGCTGTACAATCATATTTATGTTTACCAAAAACTTATAATAGTCTGTTATTGAGTTATAGGGTGGGGAAGTATGTGAATATAACTGATATAATCACTCAGAAGTGGCTTCTAAAAAAAAATCAGAAATTAAGTAATAGTCAACAGCAAAATGAAAGAAAGGGATTGAAATTTGATGGGGTTACAACTGTTGTTGTGTGCGAAGAAGAAAAAGGCCTGAAAGAGTCCAAACGGTGCCAAAGAAATTGCACTTCATGAATGCTGAGTTGAAAGGTGATAGCGCAGCTGGGATTCTGAAAAACCACCTATCCAGATGGCTGACAAAATTTTTCTTTTCAGCTGCACTACGGATCTATTTCCACAGTCGAAAAATGGTGAATGGACGCGTGAAGGACAAACTGTCGCTAACAGCCACTTCAGTGGATGTTTATAAATTCACTGGCTCCCCTGGAACTACTAATATTGGTCGCACAAAGTACATGCTTTTCAAACGCATCTCAGAACATTATCCTGCATGGTTAGCAAGAGGACAATGCTAGACTGAGATATTATTATATGCTGTTTATTTTCCTTTCTACTTCTTGGTATTTTTTCGCATTTTTTAAAATTATTTTGTGTTTTTTGTAGTTGTTTCTTTTGCTGTTGGTGTCTTTATATTTATTTATTAATTTTTTTTATCTTATGAAAATACTCCTTTTAAACGTTGGATAAAATTAGATGCAAATATTGTAGATATGTGCTGAAAATTCCACACTGTACCACTAGTACTGTTTCTGGAATAAAGCAAATTATGATTATTATTATTATTAGACAATTATTAGCTTAAATCTCGAGCACGCGGTGAACTCATGCCACACAGCTCCACCACACTCGCCTTTTAAAAGTATCTACAAGGTGAGACCGAAAAGTGTGCAAAGTGTATTAGGTTTCGGTTTTTGTGTATGCTGGAGGCGCTGGCGATTCGTCAGTATAACCCCGAACTCTGTGTTCAGAAAAAGCTTATTCAGTCTCTTATTCTACCGTGGTCTTAATCTCTCCCAAAGTAGTTCACTTTTATTTTTGTTTTAATAATTAATTCACTATTATAACTCTTATATGTTCCTTTTGTACATTTTCTCACTCTCTTCACACCTGTTAAGTGGACACTCAACTACCTAACTTGTCATCGAATAAAACAATTTTCGCCTTATCAAATTTCAGATCCTTAATTCCATTGTGTCACTGACTGTGGCGTAATTATTTACCTTTAGAAACTACTTCTGAGTAGTTGTATCAATAACAGACTACTACTACTACTATAAGGTTTTAGAAAAATATCAATACGACTGTACAGCCTCTGGAGATGATTTCGCTGATAAAGAAAACTTCCCTCGTTCAATTGTCTTTTATGCTCTTCATGATTCAATTATGCTTTCCTTCTTACTAACTTATTGTCATCACACCAGTAATAGGTAAATTAAATCATAGTGTGAATTCTGTGAAATGGAAATGAAACAGTCAACAATTCTCTTTGCAATGAATTAACTGACTCATTTGAGGAATTTTTAAAAACATTTGATGAAAAAAGGCAATTAAGTATATGCATTTCATTGTATTACTTCTGATTATTGTTTCTACAGTTGAAGACAGTGACACTTGAAGGTGTGATTATATTTCCAGTGAATCTGGAAATCATCTTCCAGTGTCCGAACAACTAGCATATCATTGATTCACTGAGTTGTATACTGAATGACTGAAGAATCAGCATAGGACCCAGTACATCTGTGGATCAGTTCAAATTATAACACACTGAACCAACCATCTCAAATAAACACAGTGAATATAATGATTCTGAACTGTATAAAACAGGAGAAATAGACAAAGTGTAGTGAAGATGTTCAGAATTTCACTGACGTGACTAAGAATATCTGTTCTATTGTTTATGATTTTGACTCATACTAACTAACAGCAGTATACATTTAAAAGTACATCTTATCATGTACTCGTGTCAGTTGAAAAACCATTGAAAAAAAGAAGTATCGTACAGCTTTGTTATCACTCCAGTGGCTAGCATCCATCGATTGCCCCATGCTCATAAACGTAAACTTTCAAAATGAACAAGAAAAGATTCTAGCAGGTGTTTAATTACTTCGTAGTATAACGCCATCTTAATTCACTGTCAACGCGGAGTAACAACTTCGCGTTTAAATTGCTCATAAAGTGGGCATGAAAAATCCACATTCAATTAAATCTTCAACGAAAAAAATTTACAAAGTTCGAAGGAAATGAAATTTCACCGTTAGGAAATTGGAAATATTCAGATTTTACACATACTTGTTTTCATGACTGGTAGACTTATACTACTGATCGACTGATATGAGTAGCTGAAATACACTAGCATCAAAAAGTAGTTCAATCTACCTAAACATCATAAGGCTGTTTCGCTGCTCCAGAGTTGATCTCATCATCAACAACAGTGTACACTTTATGAATGACGACTCCACTTCGTGCAAGCAGCCAGTCGAAATTCGGGTGATTTCAACTGATTCGGCCATCTGAACTGAATTAAAACGTGTAAACCGTTCTCCGGTGTTTAGGTCACTTGTAGTCGGCTAGTAAGCAATCCGTTTTGACGTGAGTGATTCCCAATTACGTGTATCAGTCAATCATCCAATCAATAGTAGTAGAGAGTAGATACCACAGTAAAATGACCTTGAACCAGCCAATCACGTCTTTCCAGGCAAAATGTATGTTTACTGGATATATAACAAAAATGAATTACATAGGGTATTATATGTCCGTAGCATACTGAAGAAGGAGGTCTCAGTTATCCATAGGAGTGGGCATAGTAAATAAACCACTATCAGTATGCGTATTAGTAATGTCTGCTTAACTCTGCCCATCAATAGATAGACGCTTTCCTAACTCTGATTCCAACGCACTATTCAACGCAAATGTCACTCAGGCGAACAGATAATCGCTAAAATGTACGATGAGATATATTCTACGACCACACACACACACACACACACACATACATACATACACGAAAACGACTACACCACATATTCGGGTGAAATTTATTTTATAATGAAATAAGGAGAGCAAAATAATAAGGAAAATAAATAAACTGATTGAAGGAAAGAGAATTCTGACCTTAAAATTTTTCAAATACGAAACGAAATAATAATGAAAAATTGAAACGATTCAAGAAAGCATATATATATATATATATGAATACACTGTATACCAAGTTTCATGATGATTTAAAAGAATTGGTTACTAACTTATATTAGAAAACTTGAAAAGTTATATTAATCACAAGAGAAACCGGAAATGAGGAGAAATAAGAGGAGCGGAAGATGGGACCAAGTGAGGAAGAAGAGATGGGGACAAATACACCAAAGTCAACTGGGGTATATTATGTAAAGTCAAAGAGAAAATGGCACGAGGAAGTGTGGATGGTTTTCGCTTTAATATATATATATATATATATATATATATTATATATATAAACATGGTACACATCACTTCCTGTCAAATTGACGTTGATTTCTATGTGCAAATGAGAGCTTTGCTTTTCTCAGCTAGCTCAATATTAGCAACAACAAAACAACCAAAAAAGTAGTGTGAAGTCAATAAATCATATTTACAAAATACAGTGGGGAAATTGAAAAAAACAAAAACAAAGCAGAAATCATCGGCATGAAATCAAAATCAGAAAATGAAACCAGAAGTCATCACAGTTAATAATAGACACTGTATACAAGTTAGTATGCAAAACCATATATATATATATATATATATATATATATATATATATATTGGCCCATTGCACAAGAACAATGCATACAAACATATACGCACACACATACAAGTGACAAACAAATGGTTTTATTCTGTGACTGCAAGTGGCTTCATGAGCATACACACACACACACGCGTACATACATGCATCCAAGTGTATTTGATTCTACAAAGTTTAATTTAATAAGACGATTGATTGCTAGTGAGATCATCAGTTGTAACAGGAGGCAGTACAGCGGCTAGATATCGACCAATATTAATTGGATCTTCACAAGGATTTGTCTCGTTATTATCTCCACTTTGTCGAATATCTATAGTTGTACTTTGTCGTTGAACATTACCTGATGGACAGGCTCCAGCTGCTGTGACAACAAATTTATGCCTTAAAAGGTTATCTAATGATGGACGATCACTAGCTGGTCGTTGAAGGCATGAATCAACTAAGTCGATAAAATCATCAGAGAAACAAAATCGAGGTAAGCGCGGCGGGGGTTGGTCAACAATATAGGATAATAATTCAAATATTGCCATTGGACCGGAACTTGGACTATTCACAGCTATACCAAAAATTAAAAGGAAAATAAATTATTCAAGAGTTACTTTATATATGGAATTAATTTGTTTCATGTTTGACCATGAAGTGATATTAGTTAGAGAAGCATTAGAAATAAGCCGTTCGGGTTTAGGACAAATAGTCACCACGGATGGGTGCGTTGTAGGTGGCGGTCGATCAAGAACTCCTTTGAAGTGTTCAGGCCAGTGTTTCCTTTGCTCCACTTCTTTGGTGAGTGACTTTCCATTGTCATCCTTCACTGGCTTATTTTTTATGTTGAACTTTTCCCCGATAGGAACCTAGTTGTTTGGTGGAGTGTTGCGAGGTCTCCTTTGCCTGCATTGCAGCTTGTTCTCCTTCACTTGTCATAGCTTCGCCATATTTCTTTTGTCTTCCCTGGCACTATTCTTTACTCTTTTGTTCAGTGTATTGTAGCTTGCATTCAAATCCTGTTTTTGTTGCTCGTCGGTGCACTACTTAATCTTTTGTTTCACTGTCCTTCTCTCTTCTATTAGTCTCCACGTGTTCGTAGTGAGCCACTGTTTGTCCTGTCTCTTCTTTCTGCCTAGAACTTCCATGCAGGCTTGATTCCACACCCATTTCAGGCTGTCCCAGGCTTTTCAATGCTGGTCTCTTCGCTAGTGTTGACTTGTGTCTCGGCTTTGTCCCTTATGCTTGCAGTGAAGATGTCCTTTGTATCCTGATCCTTCAGTTTTGAAATTGGTTTGTTGTCTATCTGCAGCTCCTGTTTCTTTGAAAGTGTTTGATTTGATTTGGAGTGTTCCTTGCACGAGATAGTGATCTGAGTCGACGTCTGCTCCTCTTCTTACTTTTGTGTCCAGTAAGCTGCGTCTCCATTTCCTTGAACAACATTGAGATTAAGTCAATTTGGTTTTTGGTTCGCCCATCTGGTGACACCCATGTAGCCTTGTGGATATCCTTGTGCTTGCATTCGCTGCCACCAATCACTAGTTCATTGAAGGCGCAGAAGTCAAAGAGGAGTTTTTCGTTTCTATTCATCTCTCCGAGAGCTTCTCTAACCATCATGCGTTCTCTTCCTGTGTTGTCTGGAGGCAGTATTTTAATGTCGCCGACTGGAGTATTGTCCATTGTTGTCTGTAGTTGTCTGTAGAACTCTTCTTTGTTTTCGAGGTCTGCGTTTTTTTTGTGGGTGCATAGCATTGTGTAACTGGAACTTTCCTTTTGAGTTGGATATGGCGGTCATTATCCTGGGTGAGATCGCCTCCCATTGTGTGAGGGCCTTCGTTGCCATTGGTGACATTATGATAGCCACACCCTCGGTGTGTATGTGGTTGTCTTCTGGGTGATCAGAATAGGTCACTGACTCTCCCATTGACAATTTGGTGAGTCCACTCCTATTTCATCTACTTTCACAAATTCACAGTACTTGAATACCAACTCGCTTGCAATCTGGGCAGCTTTGATAGTCTCATACATAGTGCAGACGTTTCATGTCCCCACACCTGACTTCTTTTGTCGCAAGGAGATTTTCTGTTTCTGAAGTTTCTGTAGCAACTTTGTTTACGGGGTGGGGTTGCCAGCCTCACGCCTGAGTGGGGAGCTGTTACATAAATATATAGTTTACAGAGGAGCGACTGTTTGGGCTGCTTTCTTTAGAATAAGGAAAACAAAGAATAAAGCAATCAGAACAACAACAGAAAAAAGAAAAAAAATCCCAACAGGAAAGGCAGCGACAACAACAAAAACTGTAACAGGAATATCAATGTCAAAAACAGTTAACAAAAACGATATGAAAACCATAGACTCACTGCTTCAGGCCAACTTGGGCGCGTAAGTCCAATAATATATACAATTACAGATATTAGTTAGTGTTAAACAGTCACAAAATGCCAAAGTTAATTATAGGTATTAATAGTCAACAAGATTATATCCACAGATTCAGTGTTCGAAGGTAAACGAATTACAATAAATTCCACAGCTTCCTGGCCAGAAACACCTGAGAATTGAGAGTTTCATGTAACTAAGCAAATGTAGTGCACTAAGCGGAAAGCGCATCCGATGTTCCTTTAGTTAATAACTGCCAATGAGCAGCCAGAGCTACTACAACGTTGAAACAATTAGAATCGAAATTTAAAGCTACCAACTGAACGTCCCCTTCAGAGGAATCCGAAACAGATTCGATCGCCAGGGTGTTGGCCCCAAAGGTAAAAGAAAAGTACTCATCCGAAGAAGAGGAAATGAAAGTTTTCAGGCAGTCGTGGAGCAAATCACATGACGAGAAGGTTCGTATTTCAAGTCCATAAAAATGGTCAATAGAGATATACATTAACAAGCAGTCACGACAGTGGTTCACAGGAGACATAATTACATCATTCATGGAGAGTTTAAATAGGTTCGTCTTATACTAAAACCCGCGCTGAAGATGTTGTCTAGAAGGAAAACGAAAGCTTCTCAATTAAATCAACCGGCTCAGAGGACAGAACTAATTCAGTAGGAAGACGTGGATGGCAGATGACATAGTACACTGGAGATGTGCTGCTGAAGCCTGGTGTTCCATTCGGAACTCCAGGAGTAAATAATTATAATAACGGTAATAATAACAATGTATAGCAACGAACAAGTGAAGAATGAATTGAACTCATGAATTCACTAAATAATCAATAATAATTTATTTCTTACCTGGTAGTGGTTTGCCTTCTTTAGCAGCTTCCAAGTGCTGTTCTAAATTAATATCTCTATGAGGACTGAATGCGCTTAGGTAGACTTTTTCATCTTCAATAGCTGGGATTGGATAACGTCCAGTTGCTAGTTCCACTAATGATAAGCCTAAACTCCATACATCACTCAATGTATTGTACTGTTCACCGGTTAATCGTTCCGGTGCCATATAACTTCTTGTGCCAACAAATGAATTAGCCAATGAATCAATCAGCTGTCCACTAACACCAAAATCGCATAGTTTAACATCTCCAGTACGATTGACAAGGATATTTGACGGTTTGACGTCTCTAAAGAGGTTGCATAATAATAATAAAAATAGCAGTAGTACGACAAATTATAAATGAAGTAATCACTTGTGTTTACTTTTGATACTACTCACAAACTACCGAGTAGTATAAAAATATAGACGGATATTTCAATAACATCAGAATTATAATTCCCCTAAGCAGGAGTCACCTACACAACCAAATGTAATTCGCAGTCATAAAAGAGAACGAAAATACCCAACTGAGGTGATAGATAAGAGATATCTATTCATTAGTTAGTGTTGTCAGATTAGCGAATTCTGTTTTAGTGAATCTTAAGTCCATATAACTCAACATAATTATTTGAGAAAATTAAAACAATTAGTCCCTTTGATAAATTTCAATAAGGCATTAAGAAGACAAATTTCGCGAGATGATATCGTCATTTCGTAGTTTCTTTACAACCGCTTTACAACTAACATGGTTAACAATAATAAAATAAAGGTCATGACAATTACTCAGTTATATATAAAAACAAAAGTACATACTAATGACCAATCATGTTTAAATAGGTCAAGTAGTCCATGGTAGGCGAAGGTTGAAGTCTATTGATTTTTGTACACACAGTTTAGTCTGTATGTGATTAATCCAAAGTGCTTCCATCACCTTCGATAGCCTTGAATTAGAGTTATGTGAAATAATTGTGAAACAGTCATTAATATGGATTTTGTGACCTGGCCTTCTATTCAGATTACTGGCATTGGGATTTTCAATATGATTTAATAGTCATTTTGGAACATGTTCTTTCCGACGACATTGGAACATTCTGTTGGTTCTACCTATATAGGTGTCACCGCAGCTGCAGGTGAACTTGTAGATACAGTTTGAAGTAGAGTCCACAGAATTTCTTCCTTTAATCGTAGGTACAGGGATCGAAAATGTTCGGCACGTGAGAAAAAGAGATGCAGCGTAGAATGTGCGTTTGATGGCTGACCGAAGTCTTTGAGCTGTCAACTGTATAATCTGGTCACCCTTGAATGGTAGGTTAATAAAGATAGCTTTCTTTGGTACCGAAGCTGTCTTTTCGAGATGCGGTCTTTCTTTACTGTGACAAGTGATAAAGTTTTCCGGATACCCATTAGCTAATAAAACTGAATGTATATGTCGAAACTCATCCATCACTGTGTCACTCGTGCATATTTTTCGGGCCCTTGAGAACAAACATTTCACTAGGGAACGTTTATACTGGATAGGAACAAAACTGGTAAAATGAAGATATTGTCCACTCCATGTCTGTTTACGAAAGATAGATCTCTGAATCGTACCATCATCTCTCCTGGTCATTGTAATATCGAGGAAACCGAGTTTGTTATTCGATTCGCGTTCGGAAGTCACTCGGATATTTGGATGAATATGATTAAATAGAGTAATAAAGTTTTCAATAGATTTACTATTATTAGCAATAATGAGAGTATCATCTACATAACGTTTATACAGCATAAATTCTCCACGCATACCTTGCATTTGTCATTAGTATGTACTTTTGTTTTTATTTAACTGAGTAATTGTCATGAACTTTATTTTATTATTGTTAACCATGTTAGCTGTAAAGCGGTTGTAAAGAAACTACGAAATGATATCATCTCGCGAAATTTGTCTTCTTAATGCCTTATTCAAATAAATATTTGAGACAGATAAGATAACCTCCAGCTTTACATAGTTGGTAATGTTTTAAAGGGAAATAATAAATTAATCGAATTAATGGCTTCGGCAACACTACCAGCTGAGGTACAAGTGTTATTTTCAAATAGTATTGTTGTTTTGTTAAAATCATTTCAAGAAATCGGAAAGGTGAATGCAAAGGCAGAAAGAATATACACAATCTCATAATTCATGCATTCACACGTTGAATTTGAATATTTGATTGATTTCGCGGTGGGCTTCATCATGCACAGACAAAATTTATGGTAAGACAAAACACCAGGAGGCAATAGGCAGTCTTTTTCATTCTGGCTTAGAACTTTTCTAGAGTAGACACTAAAGACTCCACGACAGAAGTCAGTCAAACGCACTCACTAGTGTTTGCCTTCGAGATCAATATCTCCATAAAATGTGAAAGAAAATTCAAAACAAATACAACATAGCAAATGGACCGCAAGCGGTGGAACTCCTCGATGTAGCGAGATCGTTCTGGCGTTACCTGATAAATACATAGACTAATGCTCAAATCGAGGTCTGACAGTTCAATCTTTTAAGGGGTCATTTAAGTATGTTGTTAGACAGTTTCAAAAACGGTTACCATATTCAACCGATGACCAGTGGTTTTCAATACTTTCCTCCCTATTTTATGCCAGTTTGTGATGAAATTGTTTATTTGTCAAACATATCACATGTTAAGTGGTAACATTAAGTTCACAGTTTTTCAGCATCCCATACAGACCAGATGTCCAGTCTGATCTCCAGCATGAAGACAGTGAAGGTAGCTGTTGACGAAATTCTCTAAGCCATTGGAAATGCCTTTTATAATGCACGTGACAAAAATCTGACCCATACAGAAGCAGTAACTGAATTATCATTGGTGTTGAAAATCCCAACTTCATTCTTTATGCTGATTTCAAAGGATTCCCGAATTGATTTCAGAGTAGTAAACGTCTGTCTTGCCTCATCCGTTCCACCTGCAGTTGAAACTATTGCACTTAAATAAGTGAAGGAAGACACCTCCCTCAAATTTCTTCAATTGATAATGATTGGTGCTTTCTGTTGTTGCTATTGGCTGGTTATTTTCCCCACCTCCATCTTCTTTATGTTTACTTGGAGCCCTGCCAACCTCTTCTGCCAGTTTGTTGGTTTTCACCAGTCAGTTTCCGAGTTTGTGTAAAATTATACGTAAGTTATCGGCGAAATCCAGGTCTTCTAGAGTTTGCTTGTCAATCCAACATATTCCTGTCCTCCCACTCCCCACGCATGGTATTCTGCACAATCTAGTCCGCCACAATAAGGAATATTATCACTGGTGATAGTACGCAGACAGCCTTGGCTTACTTCTGTATTCACTATCCTGAATGACTGTTAAGCTGTAATCTTTTTTCTGGACAGATCACCCCATCCACATTCGATACAGACTATTGAAAGATTCCCATGGGACGATTGTGAAAAGTTACAATAAAACTGGCTATCAGTATCACTGAATTTGTACAATGAGCAACAAAGACAGAAAGTCAGTGATTATTGACTTTAAACACAAAACTGAAGTTGATCACTACTACGATAGTATTTGCTAACATACTTGTTAAGCCAAATAACCATCTTTTTTTCATATAACACTCTAGGGTATTTTGTATGTAACAAAAGTTAACCTGGAAACAGATAGACAGACAGAGAGAGACAAAACAGCACGTAGCAGAATTGAGTTCTGTTTAACGACACGACTGCTTATTTATTACGTAAGTGTATTCTGTTAACTGGATTTTGACACGTTTGACCACAGTGATACATAAAGTAATAATTATTTCACTCCAACTGTGCTAACACAATTTGGATGGATTTGCGGAAGAAAAAATAATTGTGACTCTTTTCAGACTTTATTTTATTTAACTAGTGATTTGGCAGCATTTTAGTCATTAATGCGTTGAACTGCCTAAAGTCATAGGTGTAACTCTCTCTTAATAATGAAGGCAATTGACTTTTAGTTACTGAGATCTGAGTTCCTGCTCAGTGCCTTTTACATGATATGCAACCAGTAATTGAATTTTGTGCGTCAGTGGTTCGACTCCCGGCCTGCGTACTCCTTTACACCTCACCTAACCGGCACTGAGATCTGTAAAGAAAGGAAAGACTAGCAACCCCACTACCCCGGGGGGGGGGAAAACAACACCACTGCCACTGAAACTCCAAATCTTGGGACCCGAAATTCCCCTTGGATTACAAAGGAATGTAAAAAAAAGGAAATTGGATCATACCACCGTTTACTTTTCAGGGGGGGGGGGGGAATTAGGCCTGTACAAAAAGTAAATTTAAGTCTTGGAACTACCTTGTATACACAGAGGAGAAAGTCGTGCATAACCAATATATACCGAATACATATGTAAGAAAATGCCGAAAACATTTGCCTTGGTGTCTGTAACATTGGTGTATGCATTATGCGGCAGACAAGATTTCGTTTATACAACAAAGATGGCAATTAAATTAAGTGATTTCCACTGCAAATAACTAAACCAGATGTTATATATATATATGTATATATATATGTATATATATATATATAGAGAGAGAGAGAGAGAGAGAGGAACATACTGCAAGGACACCTGGACCGGGCAGTACTCAGACTATCCTAATTTTTGTCAAATAAAATACAAACAGCAATTAATCATGACACTTTAAAAGGGCACGTAAACTTTTCTTCCCTGAAAAGAGATTACAGTGAAGAGTAGGAGCTCCTTAAAAAGCAAATTGTTTGGAAACGTGTTTCCAAAAAAATTCACACGACGTTTCAAGAAGGATTACAGCATTGAAATGAACGCTATCACAGTCGAGAAGAAGCCATGTCAAGGTCAACACACTGAGAGATGGGCATCTATTCACTCTTCTATTGACCGATATCTAATCGAATCACAACACAAAGTAGGTATTCAAACTGCTTTTACCATTACCAACTAAGAAAACCGAGCTTACTTCGATTTGCTGAATCTGCTAGCATCAAGTAACTCACAATTAAACGTCTGTGTACCGAAAGAAACAGTGATTAATATTACGTAATGGTCTACAAGTTTGACTTGTAACCAGGAGGTCTTGGCTAGTTCGAACCCCGGTGGTGAGTGCGTACTACTGATGAGTCTCAAACCAAGCTGACGAAACAGCTGTCCAGTACAATGCTTCTGTAGCTGATATCAATCCGTGGTGAAACTTGAAAACAACTCAGACCCCTACACATAGCAACTCTTGAAAAAAAAAAGATCACGTTTTCCGGGTTTCATTTTAATTTATTTTTTTAGGAAAAAAACAACAAATAAGATGCGTATTTTTGTTTTTAAAAATAGTGAAATCTTTTATTGACTTCTTTTCTATTTTTTTCTTCATACAAATAGCAACATCTCAAGAGTCAAAAATAGCCGGGTAGAATTTAAAACAAAATGACATGTGGAATGAATAATTTTGTAAATAATTTAAAGGGAAACAAACCATTTTTATTGATCAAAATAAGTACTCAGTTGATAGGATGATGTGAATTACTCAATATAAAAGAAATTTCTTTATATTTTTTATGTTTTTGTGTCCCCTGGATTGAACGGTTTATAATTATAAAGCCTTTCAATGTTCTTTTTCAAACAAGGACACTACTAAGCTCTAATTCCAATGAGAAGTGACATTTTTGAAGCTTACAACGGATGAAATAGTATTGGTCTCTCCTGGTGACATTGTTCATTTGGGATTGATTGCTCCCCAGGAATGTAGCTATGCGATTGTATCCACTTGTATTGGTGCTGATTCTCTCCGTTGATCTGATTTCCAGTTGACTGCAGTTAGAGAACCGTTGAAAACCGACAGGTAGTACTGGGAGAGTTGCATCGTTCTTGTTTGAGACCCTCCAGCAGTATCCACCCAAGACCCAATCAGCGCTCCAATCCAGGACCTACGGAGTGATGAGGAGAGCTCGTTGACCACTCAGCTATAGGGACACAATCTAATGGTCCATGAATTTTAACTTGTGTCGATTCACAATATGTAATGCAAACGACAGCCGATGCGATCGGTGAGTTTTTGATGTAGCTGCGTTCTCTGAGCTGGTAGGTTTATTTGCGAAGCTTTCATTGCCCTACTAGGCGACATCTTCAGCGCATACTTCAATTTGATGAAGTGAGCTTCTATATTTCTCCACGAGTTTATTAGTCATCTTTCCTGGTGACCTTAAACGTGATTGGTTGCTTTTGTGTGTTTTCACAACCTCTAGGCTACTTGTATCGGTATTGATTGTTTCCTTGACCTGAAGTTTGACTATTTGTATGTGAGATTTCCTTCTTATCGACTAGTAAATCTTGTCTATTTCAGTGTGTCTATTGATTGACGATTCACTGGGATACCAGGCCTCTAAAAATTCTCTACCGTTCTTGATGTTTCTTCTATCTAATATTTGAACGCTATCTCAGTCGAGCTGATGTCCATGGTTGTCTCTATGCAGCGATATGAGGGAGTGAATGTCATGGTTTTTGACGGAGAGGTTATGTTCATGAATACGAAGACGAAGGGGAAGTCCACTTTGGCCAATGTAGTGTTTTTCTCAGTTCTACAATTTATTTTGTAGATGATGTTGATTTTATCTTCTTTCGCTATTGAGTCTTTTGGTTGACATAGAGCTGAGTGAAGTGATTTTGTTGGTTTGTGTGCAACATAGGTGAGTATTTGTCGCCACACCCAGCTTGGCAGACCCCGCTAGTCCCGATTTTTCAACAGAACTTTAGGCAACTTCATTGTATATTCAATCACTAGTGAGCACTACACGAAATTCGAAGTGTTTGTTTGCAGGGATACATACCATTGACTTCAAGATTGATCATGAACTGATTCATAAATTCAATCGATATCCTTGGGTTCCAAATGGAACATACGGCTTCAAACTTTGAAGTTTAAGTAGTGGCGATATTGTTTATTTTAATAGGTCTCCAGCTTTTTCTCTCGATTTGTTACCGGTTAGGTGGAATTTAGGAATAGATTTGAGGACCAAGCCTCTAGGAATTCCCTGGAGATCTTTTTTGTCTCCTCTGTTTAAGGATATTCACATTGTCCCAGTTGAACTGAATGATGTCAGTAGCTGACCATTTGAATCAATGTGGATGAATGCATACCATATCTCTTAATCGTTTAGTTTGTGATCATGGATACGACATGGCCGGCATAGTGCTCCTCACAGTCTATTCAATCTAACGTTGGGTTTGTCTTCATTCCACCTGTTTACCTGGTATGAAGTGAAGGGACCGTGTTAGTTTGTGAACAGTAACGAAGCCAAGTGATTCAGAAAACGTTCTTGAAGTATGTCAGGACCCTTTTCCTTATCATTTCCGAGAATGATTTTGTGCTGGACAATATCCTGAGTAGAAAGCCTTCTTTATCGCTCTCGTTAACCGTCAGCATAGAATCTTCATAGGAGTATCTCGTTTAAATTGTAGACACCAAAACAGTGGCTTTTCTTCAATATTACCAGTTCATGTTTGCGGCTATCATAACCCATGCTGCCTTTAATAAACCCTTCTGGGTATCCGTTTTCGCTTAGAATATCCCTGACTGGCTGACTGACTGAGTGATTGACTGGTTTCAACATAGAACTTTGCATCGATGTGCAGCAGTTCACATCGCCACACTCCATGTAACACACAAAACAAGAGAAGAAAGTAAAAAGAAATGCAAAATAGAGACAGTAGACAGGGATATGAGACAAAAGGAATAGTAATATCGAAGAACAGTAGAGTTTTATTGAGTATTATAAGTCACAAGGAGTGGATGCATCTGCACAAGCCATTGAGAAAGACTTTGAGCCATATCACCAATTGTCTCCAGCCATTGGTGTTTACCGTCCCGAGGACCCCAACCTGTCAAAAAGTCTACGCCTTCTTACGTGACTGGCTTAAACTAACTGTTGTGAATTGCACTGACTGATGAAGTCATGTTTTGGTTTGACCACAACTGTCTCTTTTCCAGCCTGACCCTATGTTGTCCGTCGAGGAAGGCGATGGTTAGGCATGCGTAACACATGTCCTAACCATCTCAAATCGATGTAACTTCACAGCCTCGTCTACTGACTTCCTCTCCTTAGCTAGCACTCGATCGATGCCCAACCTCAATATTGCTCACCCTATTATACCATTTCACACGGGAGATAGAACGCAGGCACCTATGATCAAAGACAGCTAGCCTTTTCATATCTTCTTTTCATGTCTCCCGAATGACCTGGAGCTGTTTCTCCACTCAACGTACAATGTAACTTAAGGATAGTTTACGGTTAAATCCGTTGAGGTGTTTATGAATTATTAGCCTATCACTTAATCAACAGCTATACACTACCTTAATTTGTGTAATTGTTTTCGACTGTTAAGTCCAACGGATAACCTACTACTGAAAGCTTAGTAGTCACTAACTTTTCTTTCGTTTTTACCTTATGACTTTACAATACCGACCATGTCAAAATTTACAGACACACACACACACACATACACAAAGACGGCACAATTCACTCACTATAAATAAATAAATAAAGCTAACCTATGAATAATATGCAAAGCTTCACGTAGATAAACTAGCCCACGTATTACTGAATAGAGTATTTTAGCAACAATTGGCTCAGGTATACGACCAGCATGCAATAGAACGATGTCTAGACTCCCACCATCCATATACTCCATACACAGGCTAATATCGCCGTCGGCAAAAAATGCGCCATAATATCCAACGATATAAGGTGAATTACAGTCATGTAATACCTGAAAAGAAATGAAGATACATATCAGAATAGACAAAATAAATGGAGAAAATAATCAATAAAGAGTTATACTGTTTGAATTATGATTCATGACAATATTTACAGAGGAAAAGGAAAGAATTAAGTATACTTAGAAATGGTCTCCAGCTTTATACTGTATCCATTGGCGCGACTCTGTCCACCTACACACATACAGCATTATGTCTACCTGTTATTTGAATATTATATCATGTATGTTATATATGTATACGCTTTTCTTATCACATAAAATATTTGCCTACCAAATAAGGTATTGTAGAGTTTTTATACTTAGTTGTTCAAGCATAAAGTCTGATATAATTGCTTCTAGTTCTACCTCATAAAATACAAGAGAGGAGAGAGTGTGTGTGGAGAGGATGTTCAGATTCCGAAAAGGTGATATTCGCGGATTTTGCGGATGAGTTCAAGTGTTTATCTGAAAAAGTATTAACAAATTGGTTTCACGATACCTCACTCGACCTACTTACACCTTTTAGTGCCCTTCGCAGTGTTAGTTAGTTTTTTTAAGTAGTCCAAGAAAGATTAATGTGTGAGTGAACAATAAACAAGAATAGGTAGAATACAACAATTAACAAATCGTAACAGTAGAAACTGAGTGCCAGCAGACTGTCTTAACTTCCTTACGTAACGTTTAAAGGAATATCCTTCTAGAAATATGATGTGGGTAGAACAGGAATGATTAGAGGAAATACACAATCCAAGGCATTTAACATTCAACTTAGTTTTAACCTGAGTTCCTTCTATGGACTCGAATGCTACTCCATATTGCTTCAATGTTGAAAAACAGCTATTCTTATAAACGCATATCACACATACCAGATGTAGCCTACGGTACAGCGTGCAAACGGAACCAGTGTTGTACATTCCGGTTACCTTTATTAGTTTGGATAACGAAAGTACGAACATATTTGCAGTGAGTTGAAGATGGTTTGGTCGATCTGACAAGTTTCAGAAACTGACGTGAATAATAACTAGTTTTGAAACACTTCTTATAGAATTTGATTTTGGAAATTTCTCTCAACATTCTGAAAATGTTCTTTCTTTCTTTCTTTATTCAAACTAATGCGATGATTGGAATTAGCTTGAAACCACAATGACTGGATTACGACGACGGCGTAAACACGGTACCATTCAGTTGTCACACCAACAAGAGCATACTGAATGGATCATGTTTTCCTAGTGTTGCCTCACTGTCTAATGTCGTCAGTATGTAGTCGATAATCCTCACACGCCAAATGGAGTGGATCATATCAGACTTAGCTACTAGCTGAACCCAACGTGTGAAAACATGAATCCTGAAGTCATTTAAATCTTCATTGAACTCAGTGTCTGAAAATAACCAACGGATTGTCGTCCGACCAACGAACTCCCTTAGTATATGTGAATTATTTACACAACTGTTCAGCACTCCATTAGTTTTCAACAGTTCTCCCTCAGGTTATGTGGGATCATGATAAAATCGGAATACTTTCAGATTATGCGATATTGTAATATCAAAGACATATGAAGGTGAAAAGGCACAGTAATATTCCTGCTATATAAGAGGTGGAAATGTGGCTCATTGAATTAGCCACTCGACTTTCAGTCAATAGGAACCGGATTCGAGTCTTGTCCCACCTACCTCAGCCTAGGATAACCGGAATGTGGCCCTATGCATGTATGTTACTAACTCTCAGCCACTCACACCATGGAAGTTGATTTCTCCTAGCATAACTACAAAGTCCAGGGGGGAACTGTTTTAAGTCACAGTCACGCATGGTTTGTTTGAAGTGATTCTTGTAGTTGTGTTCGTATACAGATCTCATCGCCGACTACAGACCGCCACAATGTAATTCGACTTTTCCTACACCCGTGTCCCAGAGTGGAGAGGCAGAATAGGTGGTTAGCTTATCGGTTGACGGGAACATCTTACTGACACTGCAATATCCTTATTGCCCGGTACTACGACCTAAAGTACATTCTTTAGGTCCAGCAAACCAGTGTAGGTCGTTAGTGGCAAGTGTCACTACCATTCCAAATTCAGAGATGGCTCACAGCTTAGTGTACATGAAAATCCTCCTCCTACATTATTAACTCTATTGAATTACTTGCAACCTAATAATAACAGTCAACCTAGCGTGAGACTATAGCAAAATCTGATAAATATTAATTACTGATGAAGGATAGCCAATATGTCCGGTCTGTTAAACAAAAACGATATTATTATTATTATTCCCACATGATATAATATTCATTATTCATGTTGATTAGGAGATAGAGAAAGGGAGAGAGAGGGAAAAGGAATTGATAACCCTATGATTAGAGATTCTCCGGATATAACTAACATTTGGAATAAACTTATCACTATTATCATTATTATTATTATTACTATTATTATTATTATTATTATCATTACTATGAAAATAACCAGACCACTAAAAAAACCTAGCTTCTCCTTTGAATTCAATTCAGTGGGCAAACCTGAGTCACGCAAGAGAAGTCAAATTTCGGGATAAGACATTAACTTAGATAAACTGAGTTTTCCCGCATGGGTTTTAGTGGCATTCTGCCTACCACTCAATCTGAGCGACTGACTAGGTAGTACCTGTCATTGCCTCTAAGTGTGACTCATAGCCTGGTACCGGATGACACAGTTCTGTTAAGACTTTTGTACTACTGACAGGAATTTATAAGTAGAGTATTGTGTTTGTGTGTGTGTGTGTGTGTGTGTGGTGTCTTTAACAAGGATCTTATGAGTATTTTAATTAGACACTAGTAACTAGTGTGATGTGTCTAGTCCTTTCTTTGATGCAGACTGAATTCTGTCAGTCAGGTTTGCAATATGGCCACCATTCTAGGTAGCTCGCCATCACGGTGCACACTGATTTGATGATATTAGATAGTTGGAGGCACCGTGATGGAGAGCTACCTAGAATGGTGGCCACATTGCAAACCTGACTGATAGAATTCAGTCTGCACCAAAGAAAGGACTAGACACATCACACTAGTTACTAGTGTCCAATGTCCCACTACAGTCCTACAGGAGGTGAATCACGAGCCCGAATAGCTCAGCGGTAAAGTATCTGACTGCAGCACTGGGTGACGCGGGTTCGAGTCTCAGAAGGGACATGAGTTCCTTCAAGGCTGCAGATACGCCTTGCTGACGAGTGCCAACTAGCACGAAACTTAAGTCCAAGGCTTCCTGCCGACTGCCTCCAACTATCTGATATCACCAAGGATCTTATGAATAGCAGAGTGCTGAATTAATAATAATAGCTTTACGCCTAACAGTACTTTTGGTACAAATACGGAACTGTCAGCATGTAATACAATATTGCATCTAATTTTCTCATTAGAGGGGTAATAATTAAAAATAGGGTATTGACATTAATAATAATAATTTACATTAATAATATTGCTCAAAAGGAAATGAATGTAAAATTAAGTCAAGTGAAAATATTAACGACAATGTAACAATGAGAAGAACAAAAAATACTGTTTACTTAGAGTTCCTCAGTAATTTGGTAATGTCCTGTCTTACACTTTTCTCATCGAATAAAATTTGTGCCTACCAAATAAGGTATTGCAGAGTTTTTGTACTTAATCGTCCGAGCATACAGTCTACGATAGTTGCTTCTCGTTCTGCCTGATGAAATGCAAGGAGAGAGTTGTGAATAGAGAGGATGTTCAGAGTCTGACAGGATAATATTTGCCAATTTCTTGCAGCAATCCAAGTGTCTATCCACAATAGTATTAACAAGTTGGTTTAGCAACACCTCACTCACCCCACTGACGGTTTTCAGCCCCCTGCGCAGTATAACAAAGTCTTTTTTAAATTACCCGGGAAAGATTGAGGGGGAACAGTGGAGAAGTATAGGCAGGATACAAGAATTAACAGACGGTAACAGTAGAGACGGAATGATAACAGAAAGCCTAAACTTCCTGACATAGAACGTCAAACGAAATATCTTTTTGGAAGACAACACGATGTGGGAAGACCGAGAAAGATCATAGAAAATACACAGTCTAAGGTATTTAACATACGATTTGGTTTCAACTTCAGTGCCATCTACGATAGTGGAACCGTGCGAAGAGGAGAAATGAAGACAACTGTGAAACAATGTAGACAGCATGAAATGAATGAAGACATAAGAAGCAGAATACGAATAACGAAAGGTAAGTTGTCTCACTCAATGTAGGGTTTCTATAATTTGCTGCCAAATACCACCGTGTCCTGCCATTACACCACTACTCAGTAACCAGTTAACTAATCAAATGAAACTGGAACCAACACACATAATGCCCCTATTAAGGAGTACTGATTAAACAAATAGTCATCAGAAAGAACTCCTCAATAGTAAGTGCATTCACAAATCGAGGAGTGAAAAGGATCTGAGATTTTTTAAAGATAATAATAATAATAACTGACTGATTCCTCTTCGTGTTTTCAATGCTTATCTAGGTCTTCTGATTCAGGTCACAGTTGAAAACTATATTGAAATCAGTCCAAAGACCAGCTGAATATTTACAATGTAATAGGAGAATAGAATATCAGTGGAGCACTCTAGGAGAAGTGTTAGATACAAGTAGTGAAAATAAGGCGGATAGTGTCAAAAATTAGTTGGTTGGCTGGTTAGTCGGTTGGTAGGAAACAAGGATAGACCTGGATTAAAAAAAAACTAAGTTATCTGGACGTAAAACAAATCCTAGTCTCACTTCCCTGCGTTCATTCACGCTTTTCACAAAAGTATTTCTATTTCAACTGGTTGGCTCAATAATTATTTGAAAGCCTTACCCTAGGCAGGTTTCATGCCTACCGATACTCATCAACTAAGGACTTCTCCAATGCGAAGGAAGCGGTACACCTCTAGAGATGTGCAATTGTGCCGCCTAATGCCACTAATGAGGATTATATTAAGGGCTGTTTCATTCACGGGATCACTTATGATATTTCTGAATAGTGTAAGGCATTTGACAGAAAAC